ATTTTAAAACACATGATTACGAATTCAAAATGATAACATATTATTTAGAAAATTTAACAAACAAAAAAAAAAAGATAAAATGTTTATAAAATAAATAAAACTATTTTCTTGAACTCTCAAGAATATTTCGCCGCACGAACGCTAAAAAAATTATTTTATTTAAACCTCGCAACTTTTAAAACTTGCTTAATTTTCCATTTTCTATAAAACTAATTTCAAATATGTTTTTATTTCTAAAATATGCAATTTGTAAAGAAAAAAATCAGAAAGCTCAAACATATTTTTGTAGATACTGAAAAATGTTTCTCATAGAATTTACTTCACTTTCGAGGCAATAGATCATTAATCAATGCTACACCTCCGAAAATGTGTCTAAAGAACAACCAAATTTAACAACATACCCACAAGTTGTTGTAGTTCACTGTTAAACAGCTGTACAATGAAGATCACGGCAGCAAGCAGCATCCGCTAAAACCAACAGCTGCGACGAGTATGTTGGGTGCTCGCTGTAGTTAAATCAGCGGTGTTTCTAACAGTTTAAACTTCATTAATTTGGTCAAAGAGTAGACATTGGCAGTGCCTCCCCAAACCCACAACTGTTTAATATTTTTATTTTTCAGAAAAAATGAAGCTTTTATTAAATTGCAGAACAGGTTTCGGGTGTTCATTTGGAAATGTTCAAGAGCTAAGCTACAAAGAAACAGAGCTTCCGACATTAGGCGCATACCAACACATGTTCACAAATAATACATAATTAATCTTCGCTGCAAGAATTATAATTTTTTTTTCACATTAATATGACTTTTTGTTGTTAATTTTTTTACGCTACCGAAAATTAACTTGCTACTGCTCACCCGACAGACTTAGTAACTGCCCCACTGTGGTTGAAAGAGCTGAGGTTTCAAATTAAAAAATAGACAAAAACAAGAAAAAAGCATTATACTTAATTCCAATTGCAGGAAAGATTTGAAATTTGGTGCGTTTAGGCTTTATTTGCTCTCAGTGGGTGCATTGCTATCTTACGAACCCCGCTATCTACGAAAGCTGCTTAAGCGTAGTATGAATGTGTGTATGTTGCGCATATTGGTGACTACGCTTGTACATATGTATGTATGTATCTAAGTATAATTGCCAAATCATTAATTATCAAATCGATTTCAGCTATAAAAAAATATACGAGTATCTACGAAAATAAAAATTTTATTTTTTTGAAGAACCAGTAGCTGGTGTCCAATAATGAGGAAAATCTGAAATTCAAATGGGTTATTATAGAAATTTGGAAAACAGTTGGATGCATTGTAACTACCATGGATTTAATTGCAGAAAATGTGCTTTTAATTATTGACACGGAAAACTCGATTTAAGATCAAAAATGTATTATTTATTTAAATTTATCAATAAGTGTGATATATTTCGACACACTTTACACATTAGGTGATATAGTTTCTTAACATGAAATCAATTACTAGAAGCCATTATTCGTGAAATTTATCCTCAGAAACTGTGATGTGGCAAGCGCCAAGTATAAGATGGAAAGAACCACTGTAGACTTCCCATCTAAAATTTTATCTAGCGATATCCGTTAAATTTATAGATAAATTGAAAGTTCCATCGAGAGCGTTCAACGAACGGCACATGTGGTGCACTAAGATCCACACCAACGCCATCTTGCACATATTGCCAGTAGACATCGTCGGAAGGTGTATGACGGCGAGAGTTGCTATCAGACTCAGCGTCTGGGTTTCTAAAAGAAGGCGTGTCAGAACACTCTGGAATCCTTGCTCACTTTGACTTAATACCAGATCACTTGAATCATGGAGTCGCCAAACCGAACTTTGGTGGCTTCTTCTCTGTCCATATACCGGCGAGGGAGTTGTGGGTAGAAGCCGTTGGAGGAGAGGTATAGTGAGCTTCTTTACGAATGGGCTTAGAAGCTTGGGGGGGAATGGGCTTAGATAGCTGATATTCGCGGAAGCTTGGCCAGTACTGGGCCTTTGTCCTCAGTAAAGCTAGCTTCTTCCTTGTTTTGGGGCTTTTAACGAGCCATTGTTCTATTGATATCTACACAGTAAGGCTGGGGATCGTATCAGACGCCATCTGCAGAAGCTGTATGGAAGAAGATGAGGTGGAAACAACTCGACACTTCCTTCCTGACTGTCCCGCGTTTGGGAGGTCAAGCCTTAAACACTTGGGAGCGCACACCTTCAGACATTCCACCAACCTAGCGGAAACAGAAATTAAACTACCGTGCAAATCGTCAGCGCGTTAAAGACGAACAACGCTCTGGACGACCATCAACACTCCAACGAAGAGGGTACGTCAAAGATTCGACTGTGCGACTTTAGATAACCCAATAAGCATCCTCGCGCTGTTTTGACATGATTGGGAAGCTAGAATCTAAATCGAAGAAGTTCCTGAGGGTTATACCGGAAAAATACTATACCGACTATTTCGAGGACTGGAAAGTAAACACTTTCTTAAGAAATTCAAAATTCGCAATAGGTTTTAAACAAACCTCGCACAGTGTGCTGATTACATACTGAAAACATCAGTTAAAATCTCATGGACACCCTATGATCCATAAACTTTCACCGGTTAGAGATGAGCCATGAGCTAACATAATTATTCATCGTTTATCATTATTGACTAAACTTATATCGAAAATAAACCCTCCAAATCAAGCGGAAAACGTTTAGCTAGATTGTAGTGTTGCCTTTGACAATACTTCATGTCAAATATGATAACTTGTCCAATTAAGAACTCTATTTTGATAGGTCTGTTTGTATGGCAGCTATATCTTGGTTCGATAACTGATAATCCTGACAAATGAGCAGTTTCTTGGGGATAAATGGACGTGGGAAAAATTTCGATAGATCGATATCTCAAAACCTGAGAGATTACGTATATGCAGACAGACGTACATATCTAAGCTCGTTACGCTGATTATTTATGTACATTTTCATACCCTTTATAGGATCTCCGATGTTTACTTGTGGGTGTTACAAACTTCGTGGCAGACTTAATATACCCTGTTCAGGGTACAGTGTACACCACCTTTCCAATCCAAATCGTGACCTCTTACTATATGTTTATCTGTCATTTTCTAATTTCAATATTTCAACCAAGAATTTATATAGTTGTATACTTGTATGTATGTACGTAACTATATATTGCAAGTCACCATGCGCGATGGTCCTAATCGTGCAAAATTCAACAAGTATTGCCGAAACGGTAGCGTAAAAGTATGATTTGCATTTTTTGTCTTTTGTTATGAATTTTGCAAACGTACGACATGTAAACACACCTATTGTAAATGCCAAAGTAGATCATCTTTTGTGATCTCTAGAGTTCTAAGGCGCCATATTGGATAGAAAAGAGATAAGTATTGTAGAAGCATATGTAAAATTGTAATGAATAAGTAAATTTGCACTGTCAACTTACTTATCCAGCTAAAACCACAAAGTCAATATTTATTTAAGTGGTGGAATTGGAAATCTTTTCCAAAAATCAAAAGTCGTCCTCAAATGTGGATTAGTGCACAAGTGTACTCACCGATTGTATGGTATGCAAGTCTCTCTTTTATGATAACTGGTGAGTGAGCGTTAAGTGCTAATTCTGCTTAAGCGCAAAATCGTTTAGACGAATTATTTCTTCAGTGGAAAAGTAATCATATCAGGAAAAGGTCATTGTAGATATAAATCAGAACAACTTTGGACATTTAAACAAAAACGATCAACATATTTGTGAAACTTTTTGTTGAATGCTGTTAACAAGTGTGAACATTTAGAATTGCCCAATTAGCAGATAATGAATCAATCAATTACAGTATATACATGTGCAGGTATGTTTGTATACATGTACAGGTATATACATGTACATGTATGTACATTATATGGCGAAATTATATCAATGAATACCGTGAAAATTAGAAAATTCACACATTTTGGCATTTTTTATGGCTTCTTTGACGCTTATATTAGCCATAAATCTTTGTAACATTGACGAAAATAAATTTAATAGCTCACACTCCACATAAGGCTACCAAAACAACTAAATTTGGGGCAATTAATATTATGTAATTAATTACCTTTTAGCTATGTATGTCATTGAGTGAAAAGTATTGCAAAAACAAAATATATATATGAATGGTTTCTATTATATCGTTTACAGGCGAAACTTATGAAAAGTGATGTTACGTTATTTTGCATTTTACGTAACGATATACAGATATATTTTCAAGAAATCTTTAACTGCAGCAAATAAATACCAATAAATTTCGTCCAAATATAGGGTAGTCGAAAAAGTCTTTTCGTATTTTGTCAACAGATGTCGGTGCAGTGGTATATCTTCCGTGCTACCAATCACTTTGTATCATACCATAAAGTGTTGGAAAGGTGAGATTTTAGGCTTTATTTAATCAAAAAAATTAAATTCGGGAAAGTTGAAAAAAAGTTACAGTTGTTCAAAAATGAGTGAAAATAATGAAGAAATTCGCTATATGTACATATGTTGAATTTTTCGTATAAACATGAAAAATCGTTAACTTCGGCTGCATCGAAGCTAATATATCCTTCGCAGGTGCATTTCGCTTAGTAACTATGTGTTCAGTTTGTATGGAAGCTATATGCTATAGTAATCCGATCTCAACAATTTCGTGTCACTCGTGAATGTCAAATTTTGTGAAAAATGTAAAAATTTTCCATACAACCTCTTGATTCCGATCGTTCTTTTTGTATGGCAGCTATATGCTATTGTTAGCCTATCTGAACAATTTCTGCGGAGATTATATGGTTACTTTAAGCAGTAATCCAAGTCAAATTTCGTGAAGATACCACGTCAAATGGTTTGTATGGCATGTAGAAATTTGACAAGAAGATACCACGTCAAATGGTTTGTATGGCATGTAGAAATTTGACAAGAAATACGAAACAAATTTTTCGACTACCAATATTAATTTCGTATAATAATAAAAAATATCTTTAGCTTAACCTATGACTCACTGTGAACCACTTTATAGGAAGATCTGCAAAATAAAAATTAAGAAAAACATTAATTAATAACAATCAATTAGTTTAAAATCGAAATTTTGGTAAGCTACTTTCCAGTATAAGTAATCATTATATTTACATATTCTCTTAAAAAAATAAAAATAATTTTGCTGGCTATTTATAATAAAAATACATATCTAAAACTTTTCCATTTATCACGATATAGAGGTTAATATACTACTGTGATCAAATTGAAAGGTGAATTTTGTTCATTTCATTTCCTTCAAAGTAATCCCCTCCCGCTGCAATACAGTTATGCCAACGAATTTTCTAGTCATCATAGCACTTGGTAAAATCCTCGGTCGTCTGGTCACCAAAGCCTTCTTCGATTGAGCTTTTATATCCTCAATTAATCAATGTTCTTGGAGTGGTCATGTGAATTTACTGAGGCTCAAAAAGTGAATCAGGCGAATGCGGTGGTTGCGGCACGATATTAGTTGAATATGTGGTGAAATGATCACGAACAACCAGTGCAGCATGCGATGGTGCATTATCGCACTTCTTTGTTCAATAAATTAGGGCATAGTAAAAATCGAATAAATTTTTCATAGATACACTAACAGCACTCCCAACTTACAGGAAAAAAAATTTAGCGACTCACCTTTCAATTTGATCACAATATTATATACCATAGTTAGTTGGCAACTGGCTCTATATAAGTAAAGCAAGCTAGGTGCCTAAACAGCGCTTAGGTGACTTTCACGACTCGGTGTGATTTGATTTGGAAGTCACAAGATGACTTCAAGGGAAGCCGTCTGCCAGTTTGCTCTATATAAGGAAAGCACGCACCGTGCCTGGCCAGTTCTTGAGTGACGCTTACACTGCGAAGTGATGTGATTTGAAAGTCGCGAGTGACTTCAACGGCTGCCAGCTGGCTCTATATAAAAAAGGGATGTGGCCTGGCCAGTGCTTGGCAGACGCTCACGCCATATACAGAATATGAAAATAATATTGATAAACCGATTAAGCTGATTGATGCGAGCGTTTACAATTTACAAAACGGTAACTCAAAAACCATTTGAGATATCGATTTGAAAATTTTGATACGTTATTTCCAAAAGTTTTCCTATTTCAACTAATACCCGCCAGATGTCTGTGATTTTTCCAGACCTCGAAACACTTTTCATAAGTACTTTAGGGGCTGGCCCTCAACTCTTTCAGCGAATTTCGTTTTATCGCTTCGATCGATTGAAAACGGGTACCATGGAGCGGCAATTTCAGTTTAGGGAACAAGAAAAAATTACACGCAGCCAATTCTGGTGAATACGGTGGTTGATCGATAGTATTCATTGCGTTTTGGCTTCTGAATTCCTCCTTAAACATCCTCTAAAATCCACGAATTGTTCTTCCACAATTGCGGCCGTTTTCTACGCGTCCTTCCGGAACAAATTTATGATGCACCAAACCGCGAATATGAAAAACACCTTGATTTTGAGCGGCCTTCACATTTTGAATATTTTCATCAGTTGAAGATGTCGAAGGTCGTCCAGAACAAGGCATGTCTTCAACGGTTTCTTGACCTTTTATAGGCTTTGTACAACTCGTAGGCTTGTGTCTTTGATAAAACTGAATCACCACAGGCCTTTTCCAACATTCGTCACGATTCCGCAAATTTCAAACAAATATTTTTATTCATTATAAATATTGCAACGCACTACTGAGGTATCGACTTAAGTAGCTGCTGTAAACAAATTAGTTAACAGATCGCGCTAATTTTTGGCACAATTATTGAAGACTATCAACTTAGCAAAACACATATTTTTAAATATCATATATAAAAAATTCCATATAAAAATAATAAATATGTTCCTTTGCGACCAGTTGCCAACTCATTCAGACCCATGAGACACTTCTCTTAAAGGGCACAACTTAAATAGCGCGCAACTTTATTCTAGAACCACCACTAAATGTGTAGAAAAATTGCATAAAAATATAATTTTCGAGTTTTTATTAATACTTCTGCCGTTTATAATAGTTTCATATAAACAAATCATTTCAAAAGCTGAAATGTGTGACATTTTTAAAGTTTTTCCTTGTATTGAGCAATAACTAATATTCTCTTACAACTATTATCATAATTTTTAACTAAAAACTACCAACTGTTAATAATATTTAGTATGTAGTATAATACAATAATAAAGCAAATGTAGTATATTCCTAAAATTTTGGTTTTTAATTTATTTTTTATTATGCTTTAATGAAAAGTAAAATTGAACACACACCCTTGTAATGTTTTTAATTTTAAAGCATTATTTTCCTGCAAATTTTATTCTATTCATTATGCTAATAATAATGGCAAACTAGTTTATTTTGAGGATAAATTTTGAATGTTATTTATATGCTAATAACAGCAGCTTCATTTTTAGATCACTTAGATAGATAAAAGTTTATCCAACTTTTATTAAAACAACCGATTAAAACGAAAGCCTCTTTTCATAACACCTGAATTAAAGTACTAAACTACTTATGCTATAAAAATAAAATTACACATTATTTACAAATAGTTGAATATATACAATGTAATAAATTTCCCAAAGCGCAGCTTAGTACCAGGAATGATAGAATGGCTGTGGCACTGTGGGATAATTCATTTTCGATGAGGAGTTAAAACCTGCGCTACCGAAATTCTGTTGCATAAAGTGAGATGAGCCGCCATTTGTTGTGGAACTCATGTTAGCCGCCGTCGGGCTGTGATGGAAACCCAAATGCGATGAGGCATATTGTGCGGCGGCAGCGGCGTGGTGATGCGCATGCGTGTGGAAGGATGATGCCGTTGGTGGCGCATATTGCGAATGATTATGTGTGAAATCGCGCTGATGTGGGAACATCATATGCGCCGCCGTCGACTCGGGCATTTGTGATGAACTCGAGTTTAACGAGTCCTCCGGCGAGAGTGGCGCTATGGGTCGTGTGGTAGATACATTGACATTCGATGTGGTTGGTTGCTGCGCCATCGCTGCATTCCAGCTGCCGTATAGCTGTTGCATTTGCTGTGGTTCTGTTTTCAAGGCACTTTGCAATTCTTCCGCGACATTCGCGCCACTCGTTGCGCCAATAGTATTGCCACTCACGTGCGATTCAGTGCCAATAACGGCGGTTAAACTGTTGGGTGTTGGTGGTAATTGTATGCCACTGTTATTGGCAGTAGTGCCGAATGCTGGCGACACCGATGCATTGGGACTCTCATCACGTGTCAACAGATGGTTGGAATCTGTCGCGGTTTCTGTTGCGTAATTGATATTATGATTGTTGCTACTTTGGCATGAGTTCATGTTGTTGTTAATGTTGCTGCTTGAGCGCATCAGCGGCGAGATAGATTGATATTGCGACTGTAACGTTGCTGTAACATCGGTACCACTCGCTGTTGCTGCATTCGAACTGTTACCGAGTAAATTATGCGAGGGGAAATTATAGTTGGTAGCGGAACCGTAATATTGATGCGGTGGCGTCATCGAAGCGGTACCCGATACAACAGGACTCGTTGCTAGATTGGCCACTGGTCCCGTGGGGTGTCCAGCATAGAAATCATAGACTTGTTGCTGATACGCTGCAGCCATTGCTGTGGCTTCGGACGAGACCGATGGCAGCATGACAGCAGCAGCAGCCGCTGCAGCATAGTTATTCGCCGCTGCTGCGGCAGCAGCAACTGGTTGCAGTTGGTGGGGCACATAACTGCCGGTCATGGCGCTAACATTGCTGCCTGGCGAAGCACCGTTAGTGTTTTGTTTGCGCAGACGTGCACGTCTATTGCTGAACCACACCTGAATGCGTGCCTCGGAGAGATTAGTGCGCTGTGCCAATTCCTCGCGCGTATAAATATCTGGATACTGCGTGCGCTCAAAGGCACGTTCCAACTCTTCTAATTGCATGGCTGTGAAAGTGGTGCGACTGCGACGCTGTTTACGCTTCAGCGCTATGCCAGGCTCGCTCTCGCAATCCGATGCCTCCTCATCGGAAAGTTTGTGCGAATGTTCCGAGCCGGATTGTGTTTTCTGTCCATCATCCTCACCGGGCGCATCACGACCGCGCACCAAACGCGAAATCGCCGATACTGAAGGTGCTGTAGTGCGATCGCAAATACCGTCACGTATTAGTTTATCTCTTATCTCCCACGAGAAAATACTCGGATTTTGACGTTTGTACTCCTCAATGCGATTCTCAATTTCTGGTGTCGCAATGCGTGGCTTAGAACCACCAATTACACCCGGACGTATGGAGCCGGTCTCCTGATAGCGATTGAGGATCTTCGAAACGCAACCATGTGATACGCGCAGCTGACGGGATATTACGCATGGGCGTATACCCTCGGCGGCCATTTCGACGATCTTCAAACGTATATTATTCGGCAAAGGGCGACCATTTATGAACACGCCACCCAATTGATTGACACGTCCTTGTCCCGCATCTAGAAAGTTAAAACATTTCAATGTTAATATGCGTTACTCTTTTTCAAAAAATTATATATATTATTTCAAGCAGATTCTCGAAAATATAAGCATGTGTGTGCGCAAAATGTTCAAAACTCGGGAATATACTCATCTCCCGTACTCACAATAGCTCGGCGTGTAATAAAAACTAATCTTCCAATTGCGCGGAACACGGCAGGAACCCTGAGAGCTGCGCCTACGGCTACATATTAAACAAATAGCGCTAAGTTCAGGTAGAATGGCACTGCAAGGTATCTCTTAGTAGCTGCATGCACGCACGCGCCTTCACTCAGCACTTACCAGGTGACTTTGACGTTTGGAAATCATTTCTTCTTATTTAATGTCTTTATTAGTAGGCAATTTGTCCGTTTACCTACCGGTGTTGAAAAATGTCAAATGTTTTCGCTTTTCCATATTCTAAGGCAATATGAATGTAAACAAAACGTATGACAACAATTGACTTCTACGGAAGTTACACGGGCAATAACATTGAACAGCGCAAGGTCACACGATGCTCTACAGCATACAACCAACTGTGACTGTTAATG